GTCTCGAGCTGAGTGTTAAGCCAAAACTTGATGAGATGCAAATGGATTTGCGAGATAAAGAGCACAGTCTCAGAGGAGGATCGAGGACCAGTTGGCGGATGGAGACTGGTGACTGGAGACTGTGGACTGGGGACTGGAACCGAGTTCAGACGAAAACCCCAGACGTGGGCTTCGGTCCATGCCGGCTTATTATTAACTGTATAATTTAATGTGTAGGCAGGAAATTGATTTATTATCAACGTCAGTTAATTTTTTTCTCATTTTATAAATTAAGCAACTCCACAGCAGGCAGGCAGCATAAATCTCGCAACTATTCCTCGGCGAAAAAAAAACAACGGGCAAAAAACAAATCACAAATTAAGTTGTTGGCTCCCACAGTTAACCAGGTTAAGGGGAAAGGCAGTGGAGTAACAGCCCGAAATAAATAAAATAAGTCCCAACAGAAATAACGCCCGTCATCCGAAGATAAGGCCAGCCAACGTCTGCCGCCTTGTTTGGGTGACAAACTCCACACCACAGGAGGACCAAGATGACTGGCAAGCCGGCGGGGAGGATCGGGAAACCATCAGGAGGAGGAGAACTAGGAGGAGGAGGAGGAGGAGGAGGAGCAGGCGAAACGGGCCAGGAGTCATCCCGTCACAGTCACTTAATAATTTATCGCGCCTACTTTTTATGTGCGTTTGAGTCTCATCCACCCAATACCCTAACCGAATCATAAATGAAGGTTAAAGTGGGCAGACAGTCGTTACTTACAAGGTTGAAGTACCCCCTTCATGAATAAATTATGAAATCAAAGAAAAAAGAATTCCTTTGCGAGTAGTCAATCCAAATCTCTTACACTAATTTTATTTACTATCTATTTTATTTGAATTATAAAATGATTTCTTATGAAAGTAAGTTAAAAAGACATCGAAGGTTATAGCAAAGTAATCTTATTTGAATAGATGTTATTAATTTCTCCTATAATTCATTAAATCCTAGAGCATCTGAACTTCCACAAAACAGCAGTCAATTAACCTCCGTCTTGTTTTATATTATCTTTGTATCTTAATGTTTTGCTGTTCGTCGGCGGCTGAGTTATCTGGGATTTTATCTGCTAGGTAGGCGCCTTGCCAAGTTGTGCAAAAAAATGAATATTTGTGTAGGCCCAGACGAAAAGAAGTATAAATCAAAAAAGAGCCGAAAACGAAATAAGATAACAGAGACAACTATATTAAAGTACAAGATAGATTAAGATTAATAACAAGAAGTTTAAAAAATGCTTATCTTAAGTGGACTTTTAAAGCTTCAATGGAAGGAGACCTTTAATTTATGAATACATTTATTTAATTTTTTAAATATAGAGATATGTTTTTCAGCATATGGCGGCAATGAGAATTGTCTGGCGCTGCAGCGAAATCGAAACCACTCAACTTTCGATTTCTGATCGAAAGAGCTCGTTATTGTTATTGTCGTTGTTACCATTGTTACAATTGGATCGGAAGGGAGTGAGAAGTGCAGGAAGTCAGTGGAGCCGTGACAAGTTTCCAATTGGATTCCATCAAAGTTTCGTCAATTTTCGGGCTCAGCAGCAAATTGCTATTAAATTGCCACACAATTGCGAATGCCATAAATCGAACGGAATTGAAACGAATCGAATCGAATCGAATCGAACCGAAAATCGAAGCCCAGAGCGGGAAGAAGTGGAGTTGCCTCCGCTCCAGGTCCGATTCCATAACCATGTCCACGGAACTCGACCGACTACCAACTCCCACTGAGTTGGAATTTAATGGCCTGGTTTTCCGCTTGGTTAACTCAATTTGCGTGGCTTCTTTCAATTAGGTTTCCGCTGTCTGCTTTGTTGGCTGCAAAGCTCATTTCACTTAAATATAAAATACGTTATTTGTTTATTTGTCGCCAATAGAACTGCCGGCGATCCAGAGGCGAGGGTTCCGTTTAAAGAGTTTTTATGGACTTTCCGTTGAACTCGTAAAATAGAAATGTTAAATAGTGTTTTAATTTCCCCCATTTGTCTGCCGCAAATGAATTCGACGACAGTTTTTGGGCGAGTTATGGGGGAGACTTGGCAGGTGCAGGTCGGCCCAACCCTGTTTCGATCACCAACCGATCCCATTTGCACCTGGGTGGCTCCATCGAATGGTAACCCGAAACCAAGTTTGGTATCGAAACCACCGCTAATCAATAATGAAGCGCTGATGAATCAATTAAATGGCATTTTGGCCGCACACACTTATGCAAAGTGCAATCATTTATCACCTGACCCATAAAGAGGCTGCCATCGAATTCTGCAAAAGTCATTAAAATGCGCTGTCCCCTCTACTTGCCACATGCATCAAACGTTGGAGGAGCTGGCCCCAAACGATAAACGCGAAATTATTTCAAGCAAATAATGCGAATTTAATGTGACATCCGACAGGCGACAAGAGACTTGCCAAGGAGAAGGCCACAAGACTCGAGCCAACAAGCCAATGCAAGCCAAGAAGACATCTTGGCTCAGACCCCACAAACTCCAAAGCGGCTAACAATTGGGTAGTGGTAAAATATGGATACTCTTGCTGACAAGATTGACAAATTGAGAAAAATATACCTACTTAAGCATTTTATAATGACAGTCCCTTACTTTAATTTAAAAAAAAAAAACAATTTTGAATTAAAAGCTTTCTGTTTCTTTTAGATTTTATGATAACTTAAATTCAGAATCAAGAACTGTTAAATTCCAAATGCACACTTGCCATAAAAATTTACACTTAACGATTCGTCGAATTCCTCCTAAGCTCCCCAATAAACTCGGTTTTACCCTATCCAGATGAGAATTCCTGATACCTGCTGCCAATTTCCAGTCTTTTTTTTTGTCCAGTTTGATGTGACAGCGGTGTGAGGCGATCTCCCCTCTTTCTCCTCGGAAAACAGGGAACTCGTGGAGTCCCATCTCCATAACCCTGACACACACCAAATGACGCATTATTGAACTGTCAATGGAAGTGACAAAGGGTTAACAGTGTCACCATGGAGTAGTTACCCATTTATTTCTGTCTCCCCTACATTTCTCGTTCTGGCAAAATAGGACCGCTTGGCTGGTTATTCAAAATGAGCTAGGGATGAAGTTCAGAATAATTTTCTAAAAATGTATATACCAGTAATAATGTACTTTCTGGTATTTCTTTTAAAATTAAATGATTATACCAAATCAAACAATTTTTTTTTGGGCCTTTTAAAAACCTTTTTAATAATTTAACTTTTAACTTGTTAACTCTTACACCAATAGCAAATAAGTCTTAATTCTTTGCCATATCTGCGTTCCTTTGTCACTCATTCTAACTATTTCCTGTCGAGTTACATGGCTCATGGGTATTCCCGTATATTATGACGGGCAGCAGGAAGTTCCACAACTTTAGACTTTATCTATTCACTTTTTCTTTCACTCTCCCAGTGCGAAAAGTTTCCCAACAAACTTTGGCTAATCTCGAGGCCCCGAGGCGCCTGAACATTTCGAGTTGGCATATTTATGTGATGAGCCGGGAGGCGTCTCACCTTGCCTTGCTGACCTGGGCTTGGCCAGGGTTTTTGGCCGGCTTTAGCCCTGTTTGGCCCGACCAGTCGGACTATCAGTGGGTCAGTGTCATCGGCCGCTTCGCACTGGTGAGCATCAAATGGCCGTTGGCCAATAAAGCCCAACACTTTGATGGGGTGTGGGGATGTCTCGACTGTCCGAGCATCATCTTTTGGGTCGGGTTCTGGGTCTCGGACTGAGTCTGAGTCTGATTCTGAATCTGTAGCCGGTTCTGGGAGTCGGAGGTGCCCACGTCACTTTTCTTGTTTGATAAGGATCCGCAATCGAGAACGAAGACAGGGCGAAGGCGTGCAGTCGAATATATTGGAATTTTATTATGCATGACAGCTCCAAAAAAGAGAAGAAACAACAATGGACACTCCCCCAATAACAACAACAGCGGCAAGGAGCGGCCAGAGGGTCAGTATCGGGTCCCCAGGAACCCCTCCCCCTCCGCCTCCCCTCCCCTCTGCCATCTTAGCCCTCTTTTTTTTACCTTACCTGTTTGACAGCGGGTTGCCTCCGATTCCTACAACCGAAATGCTTAGCCATGTGAGAAAAGATTGCGTTATTCATATTTTAATTTTACTTGTTTAAGGTTTCCTCATCATTTTTCTCCCACTTTTTTCGGGTTTTGATTATTATTTTGTATTTGGAGAACGATTCTGGAATATCGATAAGGTGCAAAGGCGGAACGGCTGAACGGCTGCTTTGTTGTTGGATCGAGTCTTGTTCTGCATGTTTTGTGCATGATTATGTAACATTTTTTCGTGGCTGACCGTCCCGTCTGAACCGTTCTCCGAAGGGAAACATCGATTTATATTTTGACAAATGATTTACCAATGAGTTGACAGTTTTTGTTCGGCTTCTTTTTGGGCAGGGTTAATAAAAGAAACAACGAGGAGGCAACATGTATTTAATTAATTAAGTCGCGTCAAGATACAAAATCCGAAAGGCGATAAGAAGGCCAATAATGAAAAACATTAAGGCTTGTTAGCGATAAAAAGTGCATGATAAAAATGCTTATTCAAAAATGTTGGTAAACCAAATCTTTAATTTGAATAAATCGCAAAATGAATTTGAGCCTTTATAAAAAGAGCTTAAATGTTCTTCAATGGTTAACTAATGGAATCGCAAAATGAATTTGAGCCTTTATAAAAAGAGCTTAAATGTTCTTCAATGGTTAACTAATGGAATAATGGAATTATTATAATGGAGTTACCTCTGCTAATCGGTATATCAAATAATGGAAATTGCAGCGAACAACAATGGCGAAAAATGTCAACATTTTAGTTGAATGGAATCACCAAAGCGGGAAAATGCAATTTATAGCGATTTTAGGGAAATTACTCTTTATTTGGTTGTTGACAAAGGCAAATATTGAATTGGCGTACAGTTTGGAAAATCCAATATTAGGAGGTTCTGAACCAGAAATCGCCAGTTGAGCGGAGATTTTCACTGCAGCTTGTGGTAGCCCAAAAAACTTGATACATAAAATTATAAATAAAGTAAAATGTCTACTACGTTTACCATAAATGGACAACCGTATACGGGTAAAATACCTGAATGGATGTTTACAAAATCCTTAAAATGCCATAACATTTAAAGGGTATAATTTATTTTTGTTGTGTTATCTTCTTTATTTGCCAGTTAACCTTAGTGATCTCCCACCGGACATCACTCTGAACACTTTCATCCGGGAACATGCCCAACTTACGGCCACGAAGTTCATGTGCCTGGAAGGAGGATGCGGAGCCTGTGTTTGTGCAGTGAGCGATGGGAAGAGCACCTGGACTGTGAACTCAGTGGGTCAGAGATCAGTTAACTCATTCCGGCTCTAACTACCTCTCCAATCGATTTTCAGTGCCTCAAGCTGCTGAATACCTGTGCCCAGCTGGAGATCACTACCTGCGAGGGCTTGGGCAACCACTTGACTGGCTACCATCCGATTCAGAAGCGACTGGCCAAGATGAATGGCACCCAGTGTGGCTTCTGCTCGCCGGGATTCGTGATGAACATGTACGGGTTGATGGAGCAGCATGGCGGCAGAGTCACCATGGAGGAGGTGGAGAACTCCTTTGGGGGAAACATTTGCCGCTGCACCGGTTATCGTCCCATTTTGGATGCCATGAAGTCCTTTGCGGTGGACAGCAATATCGAAGTTCCTCCAGAGTGTATTGATATTGAAGATCTTAGTCTGAAGGCTAAAAACTGCCCAAGGACGGGAAAATGTTGTAAAGGAAGCTGTCGGCAAACAAAACTAGTTTACGAAGATGGATCCCAGTGGTATTGGCCAAACACCTTGGCCGAATTGTTTGAGGCATTAGATAATATCGAGGAATCGGAAGAATTTATGATGGTTGGTGGAAATACAGCTCATGGTGTTTACAGGCGATCTCCCGACATCAAGCACTTTATCGATTTAAACGGACTGGAGGAACTGCATCAATACAGTTCCGATAAAGAGAAATTGACATTGGGAGCCAATCTCAGTTTGACCGAGACCATGGAAATCCTTCGCAATACTTGGAAGCAATCGGGATTTGAATATCTGGAAGTCCTGTGTAATCACATCGATCTGGTTGCCAATGTTCCCGTTCGGAATGTAAGTCGATTTCTGGATTTTTAGAATTTTTTCCATATTTTTCGTTTTAGTCGGGTACTTTGGCGGGCAATATTTCGACTAAGAAACAACATCCCGAGTTTCCATCGGATATTTTCATATCCTTTGAAGCTCTCGATGTCAAGGTGATGACGATGACAGGCGTCAATGAAGAATTGGAAATGTCTTTGGAGGAATTTATGGAAGACACCGATAGGAAGATTTTAATCAAGGCGTTTATACTGCCTGCATACCCGAAGGATAAGTACATATACGACTCCTATAAGGTAACTGCTTAATTGTAGATATGTCTTATAATTAAACTGATTATTTTTCCCTAAAGATAATGCCTCGTGCCCAGAATGCCCATGCTTATGTCAACGCAGGTTTCCTCATTGAATTGGATGCTGATTCTAAGGTGATGTCAGCTCGCATTTGTTTTGGTGGGATTCGTCCGGATTTCGTTCATGCCACAGATATTGAACAGTTGATGGTGGGACACAGTCCCTTCGAAGCAAATCTAGTGGAGCAAACATTTACCAAGTTGGAGAGCCTGGTCAAACCAGATGAGGTGCTACCTGATGCCAGTCCCGCCTTTCGATCCAAATTGGCATGTGGCTTGCTATATAAATTCCTTTTAAAACACGCTCCCGATATGGAAGTCAGTGGGAAATTCAAGAATGGAGGCGAGTTGCTGGAGAGACCACTTTCCTCCGGATTGCAGCTCTTTCAGACCCAGAAACAAACCTATCCAGTCTCCCAAGCAGTGAACAAATTGGAGGGCATGATCCAATGCTCGGGGGAAGCCACCTACATGAACGATGTTCTAACCAATTCCAACTCCGTTTACTGCGCGTTTGTTGGTGCCACAAAAGTGGGGGCCACCATCGATCAAATCGATGCCTCCGAAGCACTCCAGCATCCCGGAGTGGTGGCCTTTTACACCGCGAAGGATATTCCCGGAACAAATACATTCGTTGAGCCCAGTTTTGGTTATGAGGCCGAGGAGATCTTCTGCTCCGGATTGGTTCGCTACTCCGAACAGCCAGTTGGAGTAGTTGTGGCTCAGACTGCTGACCAGGCTCAAAGGGCCACGAAGCTGGTGAAGATCAGCTACAGCAATGCCAGATCCGACTTTAAACTAATGGCGAGTTTGAAGGATGTTTTTTCCACCGGAAGCCCAGATCCTTCTCGGCTTGTTCCCCTGGCTGTTTCAAAGCTAAAAGAAGTCAAATTTTCTGACAAACCCGATTTGGAGGTGAGGGGCATTTTCGAAATGGGATTGCAGTACCACTTCACCATGGAGCCACAGACCACGATTATTATTCCCTTCGAGGATGGATTGAAGGTCTTTTCGGCCACTCAATGGATTGATCAAACCCAATCGGTGATTGCTCATACTTTGCAGATGAAGGCAAAGGATGTGCAACTGCAGGTAATAGAGATTATTTTCGTGAATCAGGATTTGTTCATTGAGTAATCTTCATTACAGGTTCGCAGGTTGGGAGGTGGTTATGGCTGTAAAATTTCCCGAGGAAACCAGGTGGCCTGTGCTGCTGCTCTAGCTGCTCATAAGCTGAATCGTCCTGTGAGATTTGTCCAAACTCTGGAGTCCATGATGGACTGCAATGGCAAGCGATGGGCTTGCCGCTCTGAATATCAGTGTCACGTCAAGACCAACGGAAGAATTGTCGGGCTGTCCAACGATTTCTTCGAGGATGCTGGCTGGAACACCAATGAGAGTCCTGTGCAAGGACACTCCACTTTCACGGCAGCCAATTGCTACGAGTTCACCGACACTAACTTCAAGCACAGTGGAAGTGCGGTGCTCACAGATGCACCCAGTTCCACTTGGTGTCGTGCTCCGGGATCCGTTGAGGGTATCGCCATGATGGAGAACATCATTGAGCACGTGGCCTTTGAGATCCAGAAGGATCCTGCCGATGTGCGATTGGCCAACATTAGCAAAAAAAGCAAGATGGCCACTGTCCTTCCGGAATTTCTCAAGACGAGGGAGTATTATGCTCGCAAAAAGGAAATCGAGGACTTTAATGCCAACAATCGATGGAAGAAACGAGGATTGGGACTATCCGCGATGTATTTTCCTGTCATCTACATTGGACAATTTCCAGCCACAGTTACCATTTACCATGTGGATGGCACAGTTGTGGTTACCCATGGTGGAATAGAAATGGGACAGGGTAAGTGAATTAATCCTATATAAAATATTTGTTAAATGCTGCTTTTAATTGATAATCTTTTAGGGATGAATACCAAGATAGCTCAAGTGGCGGCCTACACTTTGGGAATTGATCTAAGCTATGTAAAAGTGGAATCCTCGGACACCATTAATGGAGCAAACTCGATGGTTACTGGATATGCAATTGGAAGTGAGAGTATCTGCTTTGCAGTCCGTAAAATCTGCGAGACCCTCAACGGTCGTTTGAAACCATTTAAAAAAGCCAAAAGCACTTGGGTAGAAACTGTGGAGGCAGCAAATGCTCAGTTGGTCAATCTTATAGCCTCGGATCAGTATAAAACCGGCGATATGCAGAACTATCATGTGATAGGATTGGCTCTAACCGAAGTGGAGATGGATGTGCTTACCGGAAACATTCTGATCCATCGGGTGGACATCCTCGAAGATGCAGGAGAGAGCCTGAGTCCTTGGATCGATGTCGGCCAGGTGGAGGGCGCCTTTGTGATGGGTCTGGGCTACTGGCTCAGCGAACTGCTTATCTACGAGGGTGACAATGGTCGCCTGCTGACCAATCGCACCTGGAACTACAAGCCACTGGGAGCCAAGGACATTCCCATTGACTTCCGCGTGGAGTTGGTGCACAACCAGCGACCCAGTGGAGCAGGATTCATGGGTTCGAAGGCCACGGGGGAGCCGCCTTGCTGTTTGGCAGTCAGCGTGATATTCGCCTTGCAGCAGGCTCTCCAATCAGCCCGTCAGGATGCAGGACTTCCTAGGGAATGGCTTCGCCTGGGAGCTCCAACAACTCCAGAAACCCTGTTGCTCAATGCGGGACACCAAGTCGCAGAGTTCAAGCTGAAATGATTATTTTCAAAGCTTCTGTACTAGCAAAAAAAAAAACAACTATAAAATATACCGATTCTCTATGTTAATCTTTCCTCTGAAACTTCACTTAACCGAAATAATAAACCAGCAAATAACTTTGAAAAATTCGTTTCTTATATTATTCTAAACTTATCTCAAACGTTTTTTGGGAGTTTAGTATCCCTCGAATATTAAATGTATATTTTTTTAATGTATATTTTGTTGTTAGAATTTCAACTTGAAATTCAATTTTCTTGTTAGGTCATCTTCCAATATACTTCTTCTCAACATTCGTTAATTTATTCAGCAGCAGTAAGCTTAATGATTAGTTTCACTCAAAAGCTTGATTTTTTAGTTTGTTTTGTTAGAGCTATTTCGCACTGAAAGCTTTTAAAATTATTTATTTGTTTTGAAAGCTTCGAGCGTCCAAATTTAACAACATGAACGTGAGAGTAAAAAACATAATTTTTTGCCGGCCGGCTAAATCGTTCTCTTTTTTATCACTCACTCTCTTTTATTTTTAGTGTACACGTGATTCGTTTCGCCTCTTTGTTGTTGGTTTTAATGGTGTTTGGCGCAAATTAAAAGCAGATTAGCGAGTCTGCTGTTTTGAATAGTCATTATAATAGCATACAAAGCGAAAAATATAAAATGTAACGCTCCGAACGCCCAAACAAATTATCCGCATATGCAATCAAAATACACGCGCAATCTAAACAAAGCCCTTATTGTTGATAGTTATTTTCTGCATCAGCGTTATAGCGTTTTTCGTTCACAGTTTTTTTTTAAATACCCTGGAATTTAATAGTAGCAATTTACTTCTCAATTCAATTAAAATAACTTTATTTTCGGTCTAGCAAACATATTTTAATTTTAAAGGGTCTATCTAATATATAAAGCGACAGAGTTTTATGATTTCAATCTGGTTAGTATAACTTTTCAAAAATGTTTAGCAATTATTTTCTGGTTTTATTAGTAATCTGAGTTGTTTTTATACAGTAGAATAAAATGAAATAAAATATTTAAAATTAATATAATCGAAAAATGCAAAATGAAAGCTTGTAATATTACCCATACATATAGAGGTGCATATAACTTTTTCACTTGATAGGGTATCCAAAGTTTTTTAATGGCGATCCAATGCCCCCTTTTTCCTGATTTTTATTCAGCTATTTTCACAGATATCGTGACTACTTCACAGCTGCCAAAAATCGGCCGACGAATTGTGTGGCGAAACAACAAGCAAAAGTCGGCGCCGCAGTTTTGGTTTTATTATTCCGCAGACGGTGGTTCCCAAGTGAGGAGCAACCAGTCCGCAAAGTGCAATTAACGGCGATCGTCAAGCTCAAAAAATATACTCAAATCGTTGTTAACTCACACAGAGTGTGCATGTGTGTCGAGTCTAACTTTTGTTTGTTTACGGCCGCCGAGAAAATCGCAATCTAAATAACAGAGAACGGGACCCAAGACCCGATTTTTCGATCAGTTGAGCAACGACACTCGAAGCGACCGGAGAAAAAGTGAGCAGCCAGCGGAAAATAGTGGAAAACCTCTGCCAAAGTCACAACTAATTGAATTATTTATAGAAAACACTTCAAGCAGCTGACATTTAAGTCATTGTTGTCCCGTTTCTTGTTGACAAAGGTGTCTATTAGAATGACTACTAAATTCACTATCAACGGGTTACCGTATACAGGTATGTTTAAGAAATCAACATAAATTTAAATACAATTTGCAAAGCAAATCAGAATAGTTATAAAAGATGAAAGCGTTTATTCACTCGTATACCTTCGTGTTTTCTTATTATTAGTATTGAAGATCTGTTTTTGCATACCTATAATTTTCAACAAGGAGGGTGTTTCTTTTTTAAGCTTCATGGCGCCTCTAACATAAACTAAGCTGATCATTAGTTCCGCTAGATCCACGAGAAGAAGGAGCTGTGATGCTCGAATAAAATTAAACAGAATTACATATATTTCGTTATCCAGTAACTGGTAAACAAATTAGAGTGCAAGTTAATGCCTATTGTTTTTTGTTTTTACGGTCTAACAAACAGGTTTTCGTAATTGAGTTTAGTTTTGTGTAGACACTCCATAAAATCTCTGCTTAATCTTCCCTTTAATCCGCAGTAAACCTAACCAATCTCCCGCCGGACATTACCTTGAACACCTTTATCCGGGAGCATGCCCAACTTACGGCCACCAAATTTATGTGCCAGGAGGGAGGATGTGGCGCCTGCATTTGCGTGGTTCGCGATGGAAAGCGCAGCTGGGCAGTCAATTCGGTTGGAAGAGATCTAAGTTATATCATAAACTAAAGTGCTAATGATTCATTTCTTTTAAGTGCCTCACACTGCTGAATACCTGTGCCCAGCTGGAGATCGTGACCGCCGAAGGATTGGGCAACCAGCGCACCGGCTACAATCCTATCCAGAAGCGGCTGGCCAAGATGAATGGCACCCAGTGTGGATTCTGTTCTCCGGGATTCGTGATGAACATGTACGGTTTGCTGGAGCAGAACGACGGCAAGGTCAGCATGACGGAGGTGGAGAACTCTTTTGGTGGAAACATTTGCCGCTGCACCGGTTACCGTCCCATTTTGGATGCCATGAAGTCTTTTGCAGTGGATAGCAATATTCAAATCCCGGCAGAGTGCGCTGATATTGAGGATGTGAAGCCCCGAAATTGTCCAAAGACTGGGTTAGCCTGCAGTGGCAGCTGCCTTCCGTCCACTTTGGTCTACGCCGATGAAACTCAGTGGCACTGGCCCAAAAACCTGACTGAACTTTTCGAGGCACTGGATAAAGTTAAGGATTCGGAGGAATTTATGCTGGTGGCAGGCAATACGGCTCATGGTGTTTATAGACGATCGACCGATATCAAACACTTTATAGATTTGCACGGAGTGGAGGAGCTGCATCAGCACAGCTCCGAAGGTCAGCAATTGAAGCTGGGAGCTAATCTCAGTCTAACCCAAACAATGGAAATCATTCGAACTACTTCTAAGCAACCAGGCTTTGAGTATTTGGAGGTATTATGGAATCACATCGATCTGATTGCCAATGTTCCAGTACGAAACGTAAGTTCATTATATTAATTTAATTATGAAATTAGTTTTAATTCTATATATCATCTATATCTTCTCAGTCTGGTACCTTAGCTGGAAATATTTCCATAAAGAAACAACACCCCGAGTTTCCTTCGGATATTTTTATATCCTTTGAGGCATTGAATGTTAAGGTGCTGACCATGAAAAAAGCTACTGAGGAAAAGGAAATGTCTCTATCAGAATATTTGGCCACTAATGATAGGAAACTGCTGCTCAAAACATTTATACTACCCGCTTATCCAAAGGATAAGTACATATACGATTCCTACAAGGTATGTTACTTTTACAAACTTCCAAGAAAATTCTTTTATATTAAACTTTTTGTAATGTAGATCATGCCTCGTGCCCAGAATGCCCACGCTTATGTAAACGCCGCATTTCTTCTAGAATTGGAAACCAACTCTAATGTGAAGTCGGCTCGCATTTGTTTTGGTGGCATTCGTCCAGATTTTGTACACGCCTCAGTTATTGAGAAACTAATGGTGGGGCAGAGCCCCTATGAAAGCAATATGGTGGAGCAGACCTTCTCCAAACTGGAGGAGCTTATTAAGCCAGATGAAGTGCTACCCGATGCCAGTCCCGCCTATCGATCCAAATTGGCCTGCGGCTTGTTCTACAAATTCCTTTTGAAACACGCTCCCGAAGCAGAAGTTGGCGAGAAGTTCCGCAGTGGAGGACAGATCCTGCAGAGACCACTCTCCTCTGGGTTGCAAACTTTTCAGACCCAAAAGAAAAACTATCCCGTCACCCAGGCGGTGGAAAAGGTGGAGGGCATGATCCAGTGCTCCGGAGAAGCCACTTACATGAACGATGTGCTGACCACTTCCAACACTTTGCACTGCGCATTTGTGGGTGCCACAAAAGTGGGAGCCACTATCGATCAAATTGATGCCTCAGATGCCTTGAAAGAACCAGGAGTTGTGGCCTTTTACTCAGCGAAGGATATATCCGGTACAAATACATTTGTTGAGCCCAGTTTTGGTTTCGAGGCGGAGGAGATCTTCTGCGCGGGATTGGTTCGCCACTCTGAACAACCAGCTGGTGTAATCGTGGCTCTAACTGCTGACCAGGCTCAAAGAGCCGCAAAGCTGGTGAGGATCAGCTACAGCAATCCAAGTCCCGGCTTTAAATTGCTTCCGAGCTTGAAAGATGTTTTTGCAACATCCACTCCGGATCTGTCACGCATTATTCCTGTATCAAAAGATGATTCAAAGAAGATCAAGTTCTCTGATCAGCCAGATAAAGATGTCAGGGGTATTTTCGAGATGGGTTTGCAGTACCACTTCACCATGGAGCCACAAACCACGGTGGCTATTCCTTTTGAAGATGGTTTGAAGATCTTCTCAGCCACTCAGTGGATGGATCTCACTCAGGCTGTGATTGCTCATATGCTGCAGGTTAAGGCAAAGGATGTCCAGCTGCAAGTAAGTTTTAAATACGTAACATATACTTAATATATTATTTTTACCAATCAATTCCAGGTTCGTAGATTGGGTGGAGGATATGGATCGAAGATATCCCGTGGCAACCAGGTGGCCTGTGCCGCTGCTCTAGCTGCCTATAAACTGAATCGTCCAGTTCGTTTTGTCCAATCTCTGGAGTCCATGATGGATTGCAATGGCAAACGATGGGCTTGTCGCTCCGATTACCAGTGCCACATCCAGTCAAGTGGCAAGATTGTTGGAATGACAAACGATTTCTACGAGGATGCTGGCTGGAACACGAATGAAAGTCCCATTGAGGGTCACTCCACCTTCACGGCCACAAATTGCTACGACTTGACTGGAGAGAACTTTAAGAACAAGGGAAATGCGGTGCTCACAGATGCCCCCAGTTCCACTTGGTGTCGAGCTCCGGGTTCTGTGGAGGGAATCGCCATGATGGAGAACATCATCGAACACGTTGCATTTGAAGTCCAGAAAGATCCGGCTGAAGTGCGTTTGGCAAACATTAAACCTGGAAACAAGATAGCAGAATTACTTCCAGAATTCCTGACTTCAAGAGAATATGCGTTGAGAAAGCAGGAGATCGAAGCGCATAATGCCAAAAATCGCTGGACGAAAAGGGGCATTGGCCTGGCTGTCATGGACTATCCTATCTTTTATTTTGGTCACTACCCGGCTACTGTCGCTATATACCATGTGGATGGAACTGTTGTGGTTACTCATGGAGGCATTGAAATGGGACAAGGTAACTTAAAAAGTTGTTACAGATATTTTTAATATAATTGATTCCTGATTTACCTATAGGTATGAACACAAAGGTGGCTCAGGTGGCTGCCTACATCCTGGGAATCGATTTGAGCTTTGTGAAGGTGGAATCCTCTGACACAATCAATGGAGCTAATTCCATGGTCACCGGTGGAGCTGTGGGCAGTGAAAGTCTTTGCTATGCAGTTCGCAAGGCCTGCGAAACCCTGAACAATCGATTGCAACCTGTGAAGAAAAAGATGCCACTTGGGTGGAAACCGTTGAGGCAGCCAACGCTGCGAGCATTAACCTGGTTGCCTCGGATCATTACAAGCAGGGCGACATGGAGAACTATCATGTTTATGGACTGGCCTTGACCGAAATTGAGTTGGATGTGCTCACCGGAAACAGTCAGATCAAAAGAGTGGATATCCTGGAGGATGCCGGAGAGAGTTTGAGTCCTTACATCGACATTGGACAGATCGAGGGAGCCTTCGTCATGTGTCTGGGTTACTGGTTGAGTGAGCAGTTGGTCTACGACAGCGAGACAGGTCGCCTTCTGACCAATCGCACCTGGAACTACAAGCCTCCGGGAGCCAAGGATATTCCCATCGATTTCCGCATTGAGCTAATCCAGAAACCCAATCCAAGTGGAGCGGGATTCATGAGGTCCAAGGCAACTGGAGAACCTCCCTGCTGTTTGGCTGTCAGTGTGGTTTTCGCCCTTCGTCAAGCCTTGGAGTCAGCCCGTCAGGATGCAGGGCTCCCAAGGGAATGGGTTCGCCTAGGAGCTCCCACAACTCCAGAAACTCTGGTGGTTAATGCAGGACACGATGCAGCGAGCTTTAAACTTAAGTAGAGCTCCAATTGGAGTGGTGTTTTGGTGCATACTTTTAACTTTTTTAAACATATATATATTTGAAATATATACTTTATTAAATAAATACTGATTTATTTTATTTTGCAGTGCACACTTAGAATTTAATCGAAGACAAGAGTCAGAATAATTAAACTGTATTATCGTTTGCTATCAGCGGGTAACTTTTATCATACATATGTTAGTCATTTATACGTGACTAAAAGTTTGTTTGGCTTTGTATAAATAATTCACGTTTCTTTTCATTACTTCAAAATAAAGCGCATGAAAAGATGTAATTTTACATTATATTATCATTATTTTAATCACATATCTTACCAGAATAAATTGATTGTTTTTTCTGTATTATTTTAAAATATTTTTAGTTCATATTTAGAGACAAATGAGTACAAGATTTTTCGCTGTGTATGCTTTAGATGGCACTTTAATCGTCTCGAACCCGTTTATCCTAATTAACGGGTAATCAGGTTTCAGCAGCGCTTTGATATAGAAACGCCTGGCGAAAAGAGCTCCATTCGACCGACGACTCTGCAGCGATGAGCATCAAGTTCAATGTGAATGGCTTTCCCTACGAGATCCAGGCGGCGGACTACGCCCCGGACACCACCCTCAACTCCTTTCTGCGGGAGCACCTGCACCTGACGGCCACCAAGTACATGTGTTTGGAGGGGGCTGTGGCTCCTGCGTCTGCGTCATCCGCAAGAGGCATCCGGTCACCCAGGAGGTGCAGTCCCGGGCAGCCAACTCGGTATGTATCCACACCCAAAAAAAATATATACTGCTATAAAATTGTATGGTAAGCAATTAGACTTCTTTATGAGCATCTAAATGTCAGGTTTTTAACCAAATAATGGATTAAAACGACAAATGAAACTGATTGCGTTGTGTTGCAATAATATAAAAAATTTTAGAAATCTAACTTGTTTTGTTTTTTGTTTCTAATTTTAACAAACTGCATTTTAAAGTGCCTCACTCTACTCAACACCTGTGACGATGTGGAGATCATGACGGATGAGGGGCTGGGCAACCAGTTGACCGGCTACCATCCAATCCAAAAGCGACTGGCTCAGATGAATGGAACCCAGTGTGGCTACTGTTCGCCAGGTTTTGTGATGAACATGTACGGATTGCTGGAGCAGCACCGTGGACAGGTGAGCATGGCGCAGGTGGAGGATTCTTTCGGGGGAAACCTGTGCCGCTGCACTGGATATCGACCCATCCTGGATGCCATGAAGTCCTTTGCGGTGGACAGCTGTATAGAGGTGCCTCCCGAATGCGTGGACATCGAGGACTCCTTCGAGTTGCTCTGCCCGAAGACTGGACAATCCTGCAAGGGAAGCTGCTCCAGACCTCCTCTGAGGGATCAAAGTGGAAGTCACTGGTATTGGCCCAAGTCGATGGCGGAACTCTTCTCGGCTCTTGGCCAAGTGGCTAATGGGGAACTCTACATTCTGGTGGCAGGGAACACGGCTCACGGAGTTTACCGACGACCCAGGAACATCCTCCACTACATCGATGTGAACATGGTGCCGGAGTTGAGGCAGTATAGCATCGAGTCGGATCACCTGTTCCTCGGCGGGAATGTCACTCTCACGGATGCCATGCAGGTTTTCCTGCTGGCCGCCAAGAGACCTGGATTCGAGTATTGTGCCCAGTTGTGGCAGCACTTCAACCTGATCGCCAATGTGCCGGTGCGAAATGTGAGTAGCGTCACTCCATAAATCCACAAACTCGTTTTGGCGATTGACCAAGCCAAAGATTAGCTAAAATTGTAGCATTTCTTGCATGCGAATGCTCTTTCTCTTCAAATTGATCTGTACAATTAAATGCTAATTATTCTCAACGAAATATCAGCTTTACATTTTTCGTTTAAAAAATAATTGTTGTATAATGCATTCAAAAATTGCTTTATTTTTGTAGTTCTAATATACTCACTTCTTGTTATCCAGTTGCGTATAAAAGCCAATAAACTCCGATCTCTATGAAAACCAATTTAGCTTAAACACACATTTCTCTTTTGCAAAAAAGATAGCAAATCATTTTAATGATTTCAAGACAGAGAGAAACAATTTGTATAGTTGTGTTTAATTTAAGACTTCACATTTTTTTGAAACTGATATTATTTTTGATCGATTATTAATTTTAATACTTCGATTTACACTTTTAAAATTTATTTATAATTTTTATACAGAACGGCACACTAGCGGGCAACATAAGCATCAAGAAGCAGCACTTGGAGTTTCCTTCTGATGTGTTCATCACATTCGAGGCCCTGGATGCACATGTTCTAGTCTACGATAATCCCACAACCCAAAGAGTAATGACCCTTCTCTCCTATATTAGCGATACAACTCCAAAACTGGTGCTTGGAGGATTTATTCTTAAAGCCTATCCAAAGGACAGATTCCTATTCAGATCGTACAAGGTGAGTAATGTTTTTATATTATATACTATATATAATACAAGAATTTCTTTTCCAATTAACAGATCTTGCCAAGGGCACAGAATGTTCATGCTTATGTGAATGCTGGATTCCTCATCGAATGGCAAGATATTCAGCGTAGGATTGTGCGGTCTGCTCGAATTTGTTTCGGTAACATTCGACCAGATTACGTTCACGATGAAGAAGTAGAGAATTTACTCCCCGGTAGAGATCTTTATGATCCGGCAACAGTTACACAAATATTTCAACAACTACCAAATAGCATTCAAGCTGACGAACGGCCACCGGAAGCTTCTCCGGAATATCGACAGATCCTGGCCTGCTCCTTGCTCTACAAGTTTTTATTAGCCACTACTCCAAAGGAAAGAGTTAGGGAGCGTTTTCGCACAGGGGGCTTGCTTTTGGAAAGACCTCTGTCCTCGGGGAGCCAAACTTTTGAGACCATCAAGAAGAATTACCCAGTCTCGCAACCTGTGCAGAAACTTGAAGGTAAGTTCTTTAAAAAGATATTACTAATATGCATAACTAATATATTTGTTGTTAATTTGTCTTAAAAGGTTTCATTCAATGCTCTGGTGAAGCTACTTATATGAACGATTTACTGACCACTACAAATGCGGTGCATTGTGCTTTTGTCACTGCCAAACGAGTTGGTGCCACCATCGAGCAGATCGATCCTTCTGCTGCTCTTCAATGCAAAGGCGTAGTGGCATTCTACTCGGCCAAAGATATTCCCGGAAGAAACAGCTTTGTTCTGATGGATCAATTTACTCCTGAACAAGACGAGGTCTTCGCTGCTGGACGAGTGAAGTATTACGATCAACCTTTGGGAGTTATAGCAGCTCTAACCCACGATACAGCTGTTTATGCAGCCACTTTGGTGGAGGTTACCTATGCCAGGGATCAGCAAAAGATCTTCACCTCCATAAATCAAGTACTGGCCGAAAAGCAAACCGATCACATTGTTTGCTCAAAAAAGAATACAGAGGAAGCTCTAAACTTGCCTCCTTTGGCACCTGGCGATGTCATTGGCAGAGGCATTCTGGAATTAGAATCCCAGTACCACTTCACCATGGAACCGCAAACGACGATTGTGGTGCCACTGGACAACATCCTGCAGGTCTACTGTGCCACTCAATGGATGGACAGCACCCAGGGATCGATTGCCCACATGCTGGGCGTGAGTGTGAACTCCATTCAACTCCAAGTGAGACGAGTGGGTGGAGCCTATGGAGCCAAGGTCACCAGGTGCAATTTGGTGGCCTGTGCCGCCGCCCTGGTGGCTTCGAAGCTACGAAGACCAGTGAGATTCGTTCAGACCATCGAGTCCATGATGGAAACACTTGGAAAGCGATGGGCCTGCCGATCGGATTATGAGTTCCGTGTTCGCGCCAGTGGAGCCATCATCATGCTGACCAACAACTTCTACGAGGATGCCGGCTGCAATCTGAACGAGAACGTTGTTGACTTCCTCACAAAGCCAAGTCTAAAGAGTGTTTACAACCTGACCGATTCGAACTTCAGGGTGACAGGCAGTGCCATCGTAACTGATGCACCCAGCTCCACTTGGTGTCGAGCTCCGGGATCTGCAGAGGGTGAGTGGGAATATATTCTAATTAGAATATGAATATTTAAAAATAATTTGAATGGTTTTCAAACGGACAATTATGTAAATTTGATGATTAGTAGAGTTATTGTGTAATTGAACAGTAGTACCCCAAATTTCTAGGATATAGTTATGAATTTGATTCTAATTTCTTAAGGGAAAATATTTAACTAATCCAAGTACATTGATTTACAAAAAAGTCTAGCTAAACGTTAATTTTTTATCCACAGGCATTGCCATGACGGAAAACGCTTTAGAGCATATCGCCTTCACTTGCCAATTGGATCCTGCGGATGTTCGTCTGATCAATCTTGAGCCTGGAAGCAAAATGGTGCAGCTCCTGCCAAGATTTCTGGCAACTACGGAATATCGAAAGAGGAGGGAACAGATCAACATATTTAATACCCAGAACCGATGGCGCAAGAGGGGTCTGGGATTATCCTTGATGAGTTTTCCACTCAACACAGCGGTGGCCTTCAACTATCCAGTGACAGTGGCAATTTACCGGGAGGATGGATCGGTGGTCATTTCCCACGGAGGCATTGAGATCGGTCAGGGAGTGAACACCAAGGCGGCACAAGTGGCTGCTCTTGTGCTCGGAGTTCCTTTGGACCAGGTTCGAGTGGAGACCAGTAATACGGTGAGTGGAGCCAACTCCATGCTGACGGCCAACTCGATGACCAGCGAGATGATTGGATTGGCGGTGAGGAAAGCCTGCGACACTTTGAACAAACGATTGGCTCCTGTGAAGGAGAGACTTGGACCACGGGCCACCTGGATGCAGGTGCTCCAAGCTGCCTTTTTGCAATCCGTCTTTCTCATTGCTACTGAATCATACAAATTAGGGGATATACCAAACTACAACATCTACGGGCTGAGTCTCACCGAACTGGAACTGGATATTCTGACGGGCAATCATATCATCCGACGTGTGGACATCCTGGAGGACGCTGGCGAGAGTCTGAGTCCGAACATCGATGTGGGTCAAGTGGAAGGCGCTTTTGTGATGGGCTTGGGCTACTATCTCACCGAGCTGCTGGTCTACGATCGCCAAACGGGTCGCATCCTGACGAATCGCACCTGGAACTATCATCCTCCGGGGGCCAAGGACATCCCCATTGACTTTCGCATCGAACTGCTCCAGAAGAATCCCAATCCGGTGGGTTTTATGCGATCCAAAGCCACTGGGGAACCGGCTTTGTGTCTGGCTGTTGGGGTTTTGTTCGCCATGCAACATGCCATTCAGTCGGCCCGAAAGGATGCAGGACTTCCCAGGGAGTGGGTCAGATTGGGGGCACCCACCACCCCGGAAACGGTGGTGCTGAATTCCGGTACCCACGTGGAATCCTTCTCCTTGCAATAAGGTTAATTCCGATCCGTATTTTAAAGATTTTATTTGGTGCGTGGATGTGGTAATCAACTAAATTACATTTACATAAAAGATCTGTTAACGCGTGTTGATTAATGGTTAAAGTATAAAAATATTTTATTAAAATGTTATGTTTTAAAGTATATAATCTAAAAAAATTAATTTTTTTTATTAAAATTGCTGTTTTATTATTGTATACATAAATTAGAATTCAAGGAAGGTGCGTTTACAGACCCACTCCTTATAATACAATACTGAAAGCGTCTTGTAAATCGATATGTGCTTTCAAAAATAATTACACGAAGTAGCTTTCCACCTACTACTCTTTCATACGAAAAAGACCCCTTAACAAAACAATCGATTTTCTGAGAACCTACTCCCTGAAATGTGAGTTATGTGTAGCCAAAAGCTTTCTGCTCTCCTAATGGCACTATGTACAAATATGTATAACCCCCATTCCCCACATATCGAATCGAAATCCCGTCCAAAATTTTGTGTTTAGAAAACTGAGCAAAACAAAATCGCCCAAACAAACCGCTTACTGATAAAGCTCTCCGTTTCAAGAGAGGGAGAGTAATTAGAAACGGACCCGAGATAATATTTCAGAGTGTTATTATGATCTAATGCTGAATGGGGAGCGAAATAGAGAACCCGGCAGTTAAGAGCGCGTACAGTTAAACTTGAACTTAACTTGGTCACGCGAGAATCTCTTTTTTGGGGCCCGGAGAACGAATATATAGGGGACTCCGGAAGGCCCCAACTTACAGTCGCTCGGAGATCGGCGAGGAAATCACACAAATCAAATTTAGCGGACCTGTTGCCTCACATGGTGAAATAACTTAGTTTCCAGAACCCACTAAAGAACAAATTTTTGGAACACTGGCGTCAATTGAATGAGGGAAAAGGCTGCAGTTAATTTCACAACAGCTCAAGTGATTCGAGGACTTATATAAGGCGCAGATAATGGCTGGAAGAATAACTATCAACGGCATCAGCCATGAAGGTGTGTATGGGTGTGTGGGCAGTTAATTGCCTTTGGCTTGATGGGGGCTGTCATCTAAGATTGTATAGACTGGAACAACAGGGTCGAGAAATTATACTATGACATATCTAATAGTTTTGAGAAAAATGTCTGCTTTGTGTGCTGGGATATTAATAACAACCTTTATACCCAGAAAATTGCGTTGTTATTATATATTTTACGACGCTAATCATGATTATACCATAATAGCTTTTCTTCAATTCAGTTCCATTACTTCTGTAGTATTCTATTTGAACTTTGACTTTGTGTTAGTGAAAAACTAATTGGGCCTTAAGGAATGAACTTTGGAACCGAAAGCAGAAATTCCTTTGAAAGAAATGTACCCATAAGGTAAATAATAAACTTACAAGAACAGGTTTCTAAAAGAAAGAAGTATGTCATATTAAACCTACATATTATTTTCATGTCTATTCCATTTCGTGTGTCCAGATTTATCAAGTAAACAATACCTTAAGCTAAAAAAAATATGGTAAATAGTAGTAATTATGAATGTATATAAATGTATAGAGCCCAAAAGTTGGACAAGTGATTATTTTGTGAATGGGGATGTGGGGGAAATTCGGTACGACATTGTGACGCTGTTGAGCAACCTGATAAGATAACACCGCACCTGTATATAACCTCTGATTCCCCTCGATCTTTTTCCCCTTCTCAGTTAATCTGGCTGCCCTGCCGGCGGATATCTCGCTGAACACGTTTATCCGTGAGTACGCCGGATTGACGGGCACGAAGTTCATGTGCCAGGAGGGCGGATGCGGAGTCTGCGTGTGCACCCTGAGCGGACTTCATCCGGAGACCGGCGAGCCGCGCACCTGGGCGGTCAACTCGTGCCTCACCCTGCTGAACACCTGTTTGGGTCTGGAGGTGACCACCACCGAGGGATTGGGCAACAAGCGGACCGGCTACCATGCCATCCAGCAGCGACTGGCCAAAATGAACGGCACCCAGTGCGGCTACTGCTCGCCGGGAATCGTGATGAACATGTACGGCCTGCTGAAGTCCAAGGGCGGCAAGGTCACCATGGAGGAGGTGGAGAACTCCTTCGGTGGCAACATTTGCCGCTGCACCGGCTACCGTCCCATTCTGGATGCCATGAAGTCCTTTGCCGTGGACAGCAACATCCCGGTGCCGGCTGAGTGCCAGGACATCGAGGATCTGAGCACCAAGCAGTGTCCCAAGACGGGTCAAGCCTGCTCCGGAAGTTGCAAGAAGCAGCAGCCGAAGGGCAGTCAGCTGTATCCGGACGGAAGTCGCTGGAGTTGGCCGGAGAATCTGGGAGATCTCTTTGGTGCCCTGCAAGGAGCTGTCAAGGAGAAGTTGCCCTACATGCTGGTGGCTGGAAACACAGCCCACGGAGTCTACAGACGTCGCCAGGATATCAAGGCATTCATCGATGTCTCTGGCTTGGCGGAGCTCAAGGGTCATAAGCTGAGTGCGGATAAGTCCTCCTTAACCCTTGGAGCTAATTTGAGTCTCAGTGAGACCATGGAACTCTGCCGTCAGCTGGAGAACACCCAGGGATTCGAGTATCTGTCGCAGGTTTGGCAACATCTCGATTGGATCGCCAATGTTCCAGTGCGCAATGTAAGTCAAATCGGAGTGGTCTTATCGATTGAAAGCCCTCGGGTCTTATCTAATCGGACCCCCGTGAAAACACCTTGAGTGTCTCTTGTTTATCAATTCGTTTCGCATTAACCCAGGCCGGCACCTTGGCGGGCAACCTGGCCATCAAGCACGCCCATCCCGAGTTCCCCTCGGACGTCTTCATCGTTCTGGAGGCCCTCGATGCCAAGGTGATTGTCCAGGAGTCAGTGGACAAGCAGGAGACCGTGAGCCTGGCCAGCTTCCTCAAGGGATCCATCGAGGGAAAGATCATCCGTGGACTGGTGCTGTCCGCTTATCCCAAGAACCGCTTTGCTTTTGACTCTTACAAGGTGAGTGTTTACCACAATTTCCACAAAGTAGTGAAGAGCGATATCATTTCTTATCAGTAATTGTGCATTCAAGGGTTAGATAATAGTCAGACATTCCTAATGACTTGTAAATATTCGTATATGCGCTTTATTAAACTGAAAGAAGCTGATATTATATTTTAATACTCGACTACTAGATATAAAATTAGAAGCCATTTTTTTTTATTTAAAATATTTTTTTATTAATGCAGGATGTGTAGACTTATTTTATTGGTAGGCATTATAAGTCAATAATTTAATATATTGTTACTGTTGAGAAATTTAAATTATTATTAAGCTTATATCTTTAACTTATTATTTTATTACTGCATGCTATTTTTTTTGGTATTTAAGTTGCTTGGCATTGTTTGAGCTTGATTGTCAATGCAAATAACTAGACAAAAAGTGAAACAAACAAAGTTCTTTATTTCTCTGATCATAGTTTAAATTTCTAAATCAAGATCCCTTGTACAATATATATATTTTTAGTCTGACGATCACCTTGTTCAGATTTCATTCTTAATTACCTACAAATTTGCTAATCTCACAATATTTTTTTTATTTTTAAAGAACTTAGAATTAATCATATATTCTCTATAACATTGTCTGTTTATAAATATTTTTTAAAATATTTTTTTCTGCTCAGATCATGCCGCGTGCCCAAAATGCCCATGCCTACGTGAATGCCGCCTTCCTCGTGGAATTCTCTCCGGACTCCAAGGTTAAATCAGCCCGCATTTGCTTCGGAGGAATCCATCCCGAGTTCGTTCATGCCACGGCGATTGAAAAGCTGATCGTGGGCAAGAATCCCTTCGAGAACGGATTGGTGGAGAAGGCCTTCGGACAGCTGGCCACTCTGCTCGAACCAGATCACGTTCTCCCGGATGCCTCTCCCATCTACCGTCGCAAGTTGGCCTGTGGTCTCTTCTACAAGTTCCTCCTGAAGACAGCTGTCCAGCGAAAGCAGGGATTGGCCAGTCAGTTCGCGACTGGAGGTTCCCTCCTCCAACGGCCCGTTTCCAGTGGCAAGCAGATCTTCGAGACCTTCCAGGAACACTATCCCGTGACCAAGGCCACCGAGAAGCACGAGGGTCTGATCCAGTGCTCCGGCGAAGCCACCTACTCCAACGACTTGCCCACCCAGCACAACCAGGTTTGGGCGGCCTTTGTCACGGCCAAGAAGGTGGGTGCTAAGGTCACCAATGTGGATACTCAGGCTGCTCTTGCTTTGCCCGGAGTGGTGGCCTACCTGGATGCCAAGGATATTCCCGGACCCAACTACATTGGACCCAAGATCCGCGACGATTTCTTCTTCCCGCAGGACGAAGAGATCTTCGCCACTGGCGAGATCAAGTTCTATGGCCAGCCGGTGGGCCTGATCCTGGCCAACTCCAATGCCCTGGCCAATCGCGCCGCCGAGTTCGTAAAACTGAGCTACGAGGGCGAAGCAAAGGAGCTGCTGCCCAGTCTGAAACATGTCCTGGAGAAGGCTGGCCCCCAAGTTGGCAAGACCAAGCGGTTCGAGCAGAAGGTCAAGTCCTCCATCGACGTCCTCGACCTGGAGGAACCCTTCGATGTGAGCTCCTCCGGCCAACTGGACATGGGTCTGCAGTACCACTACTACATGGAACCCCAGACCACCGTGGTTCTTCCATTCGAGGGAGGATTGCAGGTGTACGCAGCCACCCAGTGGATGGACCTCACCCAGGACATCATCGCCAATGTGCTGAACCTGAAGAGCAATGAAGTCCAGGTGAAGACCCGTCGCATTGGAGGAGGATATGGTGGCAAGGCCACCCGGTGCAACTTGGCCGCCGCTGCTGCTGCTGTGGCTGCCCACAAGTTGAACCGACCCGTGCGGTTTGTCCAGTCGCTGGAGTCCATCATGACCACATTGGGTAAACGGTGGGCCTTCCACTGCGACTACGACTTCTTTGTCCAGAAGTCCGGAAAGATCTCGGGAATCGTGAGCCGATTCTACGAGGACGCCGGCTACCTGTCCAACGAATCGCCCATTGGCCACACCGTGATGCTCTCCAAGAATTGCTACGAGTTCAGCGACAACTACAAGCTGGATGGCTTCCTGGTCTACACGGACTCCCCGACCAATACTCCGTGCCGTGCTCCTGGCTCCGTGGAGGGCATCGCCATGATGGAGAGCATCATCGAGCACATCGCCTTCGAGACCGGACAGGATCCAGCGGATGTTCGCTTTGCCAACTTGCTGCCCGCCCACAAAATGGGCGACATGATGCCGCGCTTCCTCGAGAGCACCAAGTACCGGGAACGCAAGGCGGCCACCATTGCCCACAACAAGGAGAACCGCTGGCACAAGCGCGGACTGGGTCTGTGCATCATGGAGTACCAGATCGGATACTTCGGACAGTTCCCGGCCACCGTGGCCATTTACCACAGCGACGGCACCGTCGTGGTCTCCCACGGAGGCATTGAAATGGGTCAAGGTGAGTGTTTTTAATTGAACATTTAAAGTAGCAATTATTGGTAGGAGGAAAGGACTTATTGTGCTTCAGAAATAACCATTTCCGACCATATAAGTCTTACATTAGAAGTCAGGAATATCCACCGAGAAGATCTAGACATGCTCTTTTTTCCATCATTAGCAATTAGTTACCAGCAAAGCTTTCTTCTTAAAAATTATTAATTAAAATTAATTAAAATGTATCCTCCATTTTTGATGGTTTTTAGAATTTTTTGTAATTGTAATTTGTGTACTGAAAGTTAACAAGCTATTTATTTAATAATCACACCACTTTAAAGAAAGCTGATTGTAAATCCATAAGCAGAGTGTCATACAAAAAGTTAAGGAGTTCTTCTGTAGCATTATTTATTTATTCCAATCTTATCCCTTTTTTTTTTTCTACTAGGCATGAACACCAAGATCTCGCAGGTCGTCGGCCACACTCTCGGTATTCCGATGGAGCAGGTGCGCATCGAGGCGAGTGACACCATCAACGGAGCCAACTCCATGGTCACCGGAGGAGCGGTGGGCAGTGAAACGCTCTGCTTTGCGGTTCGCAAGGCCTGCGAGACCCTCAACCAGCGATTGGCGCCAGTGCGCGAGGAGACCAAACCGCAGAACTGGCACGACCTGATCAAGGAGGCCTACAACCGCAAGATCAACCTGATCGCCAGCGATCAGTGCAAGCAGGGCGACATGGATCCCTACTCCGTTTGCGGGCTCTGCCTCACCGAAGTGGAGTTGGATGTGCTCACGGGTAACTACATTGTGGGACGCGTGGACATCCTGGAGGACACTGGCGAGAGTCTGAATCCCAATGTGGACATTGGCCAGATCGAGGGCGCCTTCATAATGGGATTGGGCTACTGGACCAGCGAGCAGGTCATCGCGGATCCCCTGACCGGCGAGTGCCTCACGAATCGCACTTGGACGTATAAGCCGCCAGGAGCGAAGGACATACCCGCGGATCTGCGCATCGAACTGCTGCCCAAGAGTCCCAACAAGGCGGGCTTCATGAGGTCCAAGGGTGAGTTAGGATAACCTTACTTGAGGCTCAACTAATAAGAAATCCTTCCCTGTTTTTTAGCTACTGGTGAGCCTGCCATCTGTTTGTCCGTCGCCGTGGCCTTTGCCCTCCAGCAGGCTCTTCAGTCGGCTCGCGACGACGCCGGCGTGCCCAAATCCTGGGTGACCCTCACCGCACCGATGACCCCCGAGCACCTGGTCCTCCACTCGGGCACCGATCCCAGCCAGTTCAAGCTGAACTAAGGATGAGGAGGAGGAGGAGTGTGTATTCTGTAGTCCAGACCGTGAGACACGGCACGTGGCCGCGATGGAAATGGTCCGATAGGCACGCCAAGATAACCTGCACTTACACCCCCACTTAACCTGAATGTAGAATGTAGCAGACACTGTGTTGTGTGCACAATAAATTAAAAACTTATCCAGCGCTTAATCCAAATGACATTCATTTGGCCAGGGTCAACAGGAACGGTACGGAGCTCCAGGCACTAGCCATTTACATTTTTCCGGGCTCTTTTTAACGCTTAACACCTCAACACCAAAGGAAAACCCTGGACACTCCCCGCGCCGAGCTCTTCATTAATTTCAACATAAATTGTTGTATAGAAATTTTATGCCACGCGAAGCGTTAAGTGCGAGTTGGCCAAGAAGAGGAGCGAAACAGGAAGCGGGAAAGGGGGAGGAGGTGGAAGAAGCAGAAAAGGGGAGGGAGTTGCCTTGCGGTTGTGGCAAAAGGACAGGCGACTCTAATGGATTTTTCAAATATCACCAACTGCTGTGCTCTTAATGAGCACATCCCTAACGACATTGTTCGATTGACACACTCCACTCCAGTTGATACCCGCTCATTAATAATAATATCCACTCGAAATATTTAACAAGCTAGAGTTTGACGAGGCTTTTCGTCGAACTTCTTATTTACAGCTTATAGGTTTTGTTTCCATTTCAAGAATAGGGTTTGCATGATAAATATTTTAAATAATTTTACCCAGAAAACATATGGCTTTCTCACAATTACAAAACTATTCTTTAGAAAAGGTCTGGAAACTGTAACTTTATTAGATTAAATATCTGGAACTTTACTTGAACTAGTTTGTTTTGGCACACCTTCATGAAAGCACATTCTAAAAAGTCCAGCTTTTCTTTCCAGAAGAAACTGATATCCTAAGTTCCTAGGCAATAAAAAGTCGTAGATTTCTTTGCATACACTTCAGTTATTGTACAAAAATGGATCTAAAATGGTTAATACTCGTGGCGTTCCTAATGCTTCAATTTGGAGGAAGCCAACCCATTGACTACTGCAAGTTGCCCTACTGCGGAACAAATAACCTAGCTTGCGACAATCCTTCTGTAAGTGGAAAACATAGACCATTTTCACTTGTCAAATAATTTTTCATATCAGAAATTCAGTGAGATATGTCCTCCGAATGCCAGAACTCTTGCCATGTCGCCGTATCGAACTGTACTATTACATTACTTCAACGACTTTCGAAATATTACGGCAAGTGGCGGGCACAAATATCTGGAAGCCGCGGCATCCCGAATGTCCCGACTGAGTTACTCCACCGAGTTGGAGAACTTAGCCCGTTTGGCTGTCATTACATGCTCTCCCCACAAGTTTTGCCTTAGTTCGCCGGAGTTTTACTATGTGGGCACTAACCTTTATGGCACCTACTACTTGGGAAACTTGAATGACATGGAAGATCTAGAACTGATGCTAAGGTCTATCCGGGACTGGACAAGCTATGCGGATTATGTCAATATGAAAATGGCTCTTCACATGCCGATTACTTTGGAAAATAGGTTCGGTTCAATTGCATTGCTTAAGTACTGCATATGTTTACTTTGTTTGGTAACTTCTTCCAGTGGAATTGCTAAGGCTTTACTCCTAATGACAGATCGTAATACCCACGTGGGTTGCTCAGCGATGCGTTTCACATTGAACTCGGCACACTGTTTCATGTTCGTGTGCGCATTCAGTACAGATCTTTTTGTGGAGAGACCCATTTACCGGATGTCTAGTCGACCAGGAACCGCCTGTGAAAAGCTAGATCCAACTTATTCAGCCCTTTGTGCCGAAGGAGAGAATTACGCCAACAATAGGGAGGTACCAAATGCAGTGGTCTTCCAACTTCCCCTCGACATCTCCGTTGGCCGACAGCCGTACATTCCCGCCATGCAGACGGAGCTTTAAGTAAACTTTTAAATTCCCACCACAAAAATGTGTTCTAAAATAGTTGCTGTTTCCCCCCCAACATTTTTTCAAGGGTGCTGATGGCCAGACAAAAAGGACACGCCCCTGGATGCCCAAACAAAATCAGCGCACAAAAACAAATAGTTAACACCCAGACGCGAAGGAAGAGAAGTGGCGGCAGAAAGCAGACATTTCAGGACAACCTCGATAATCACAGGACACATTTGCATATAAACACGCTTCCGGGCTGATGTCCTTCGCATGCAAATGAAAACATTAGCGAGGCACACGCGCATCCGCATTCGCGTTCGCATCCGAATCCGCATCTGCGAGATGCAGATACAGATACAGTTACAGATACAAATGACATTCGTCGCTGTTGCTGCTGGTGCCGCTGTCGCCTCTTCCCTGCTTAAATATATATTTCAATTAAAATTTTACACACGAATAAATGCAAAGCCACGCCCAGCACATTAGATTCCCCTTCCCTCTGGCAGCTCCGCCAAATCCCAGTCGGAGTCCCCATTTCCCCCCGCCTTTCGGATGATGCTCCTCTGGCAGTGTCCAACTTGTGTCGCTTGTTTATGAGCGTCTGAAGGCCACGGGAGCAGACAGCAGACACGGACTTGCCCATAAAATGGTGCAAGCCAACTGGGGTGGCATGGGATTCAGATAGGGATGTGGATGCAGATGCGGATACTGAAAGGGCACAGGGATCAGGGCGCCAATGGAGCATGCTGCTGAATGTCCACGGAATTATTCAAAAGTTTCACCAATGGCGGATCCCAGGGAACGAAGAGTTTGGCATTCTGACAAGATGAACTGGTTGTTCCGGGAAGGCCAATCAAGAACCGAAGGGTTGGGCCAAAATCAACATAAACTGCTTAGGGAATGTGCATGTGGAATATCGCTTAGGGAATTAAATTTGTAGTTTTGGAATTTAAGTCAAGAAAGCGATTTAATAATATTTTGATGCCAGCAAAGAGCTCTTAGCCCAGCTGTCTTGTCAAACAATTCCCATTCTAGTCCGGCAGTCTCTCAATCCGCCATTATAAAGGGTTTCCATTTCCATTTCCATTTCGAGTCGAGAGCAGACCGGAGTCAACCATGAACTTGAACTTGCGACTGTAATAATAATAATAATGCAGATCCCGACTTGCAACTCCTCTCCACTTTCAGCTGGTGCTGGGCAGCTTTTATTTCTTTTTCATAGCCGGCGCATCCTCATTTCTGTCTGTCCCCGCCTGTCTGCGACCATTGTCTGGCTTGCATTTCAAATTCTAAGCAAATTTGTCGACCCTGCCAAGGGAGTGGGCTCCTCGTTCAAGGGTGTGGGCAGGCGCAACATTTTATGAGCGTGCCCGCGATGCAGCGACTCAGATATGACCAAACGAACGTCTGCTTGGCGGGAACTGCGCCGCCCGCCCCACTACGACTGCTCCAGTTTCCAGGGCGACCTTTTCAATGGGTTTTGCCTTGCACTCACAGAAAAATCAGAGAACTAACAAAATGTATTTTATTTAAGAAGGATGAAGCCGTGGGGATGTAGTTCTGTCCTGCTCAAAAAGATTGTGAAGAACGAATAAATAAAATTTTTAATGGAATATTTAAATATTTAAATTACAAACAACCTTTTTTAAGATTTTTTCTTAATATTTCTATAAACATTAAAAGTCCCTAGCTAACAATTTGGTTCATTGATAAAAATATATTATCAAATCTTAAATTATGTTTATCCCTTCAAATCTTAAATTATGTTTATCCCTTGAAACAAAGTAATTACAACCTGCCTTAAAAATTTTAAAGAATTACTCCAAACAAATCCACAAAAATATATATAAATTTATGAGGTAAACTTAAATGATTTCAAATTAAATAATTATTGAAAAATATGTTCTTTTTATTTTAATCTCTTTTTCGGTCAGTGTGGGTGGTCTGCTGGTGGTCTGCAATGGTGTTGCGTCTGCTGGTGGCACACAAAGATGTCCCGGTGTGATTTATCGCCGCCAGAGCCGGGATAATGGCCACGTATTATAATATCTGGCGCGCCCACAGGGCGTATGCTTATCGGAGCCGACACCGTCGACAAGGACGGCGATGTGGCCGTCAAGGTCTAGACTCTAGACTCCTGCGGTGCAGCTGGTGGCAGCGCCAAGGATTTCGCCCTCTTCCTTGCAGTTTCATTTGCATTTCCCGAGAGCGGAAAACTGCATGCAGTTTATTAAATAGGAACGGCTCGGGAAAAAAGAGGTGGCGAAGAATTAAGTACATCATTTTGGGATGGCTTGATTGTCGGCTGCTTTTGGCGCATATCCTGTGGGTAGGACATCCATACTCTCGCATTCTCGGATTTTATGCCGCAGCAAGCGTCTTCTTCTGCGACTCCTTCTCCTTTTCCTCGGCAGCTTAAATCGTGAGCCAAATACATAAAATCTACGCATGCATGTCTGTATCCTTTGCCGCAGCCTTTTCCACTTAATGCCGACTGCATTGTGCCCGTACACACATGTGTATTCGAGTACGAGTGCGAGTATGTATGGCTCTGCTTTGTGTGTATTTGATATCATTAAAATTTTGAGCTCGCCTCTGCAGTGCCAAAGCAGCCAAAGAAGTAGAAGTAGAAGGAGCAGTGGCAGCAGCAGCTTGTCCTTGCCATTGGTCCTTGCTATTGTCCCTTGGTCTCTTCCCGGGAATCCGGGAAGCCGGGACCCCGATCCTTCGAGCGTCTGGCCAAACATGAATAGCAAAGTCTGGCAGTCTCCCCGAAAAAAGGAACGAAAACTATGCATTTATGATATGTATTTTCAAGTTTATTTGTTCAACGGACTTTTCACTGCTCGAGCGGGTTAAAATATTTCTGCATGTATGCACAAGTTCTGGGAATTAGGAGGAATTCAGATTGAATAAGGGGATGGGTCGATGTTCGAGCTTTTCCCTGCCATGGCCTTAAAGTTTGTTTAACGTTTAAAATGTGAAAATACGAAATACGTGTGGCTTTCGTTTAACAATCCCTCAAAGACCAAGAAAAAGGCAATATGCAGAAAGTGAAGTTTAATTAAATTTAAATCCAAATGGGACTTAATATCCAGTCTCTTCGTTCATAATTAAAAAATACGCAATATCCGATTTTTCAATAACCAAACCAAACCGAACCGAAGCGAGCTGGAAGTGGGAAATCCAGAGAAGCAGAAGCAAAAAGAATTGACGTCCTGTTCACGGCCACGGCCATCGCAGGATCCCTCTGCCAGGACGACGGGAATCCGATTCGGACGAGTGCGACTGATAGGCGACGACAAGGACACCGACTGCCAGTTGCAAAGGACAAGCGGGCGTAACTCAATCTGGGGACGTGCAAAAAGGAATATCCAACTCCGACCAAACGCACTGCCGCAGGACAATGATAGCAGAATGTGCTCAGTCCCACCAAAAAAGTGCTGTAAAAACTCACACAAAATAAAACCAATCTGGTGGCCATTTGCTTACATACCCTGTATGAAATTGAGTAATACAAATATATGTTTTTAGGTGAAGTTATAGTTTAAGTTAAAGAATTTAATGTTTATTTCTGGTTTTTGACAAGTTAAAAGGGTTATCCATAAATATTAGTATTGATTTCTACAATTATTATGCAGCTTAGCTTTGTTCTTTATTTTCCAGATAAACTGTTTTAAGTTTATTTTCAAGGCATGAGTTTGTGTACCTTTGTGGATGCATAACTAAAGTTTTTTTTATAATATCTACATCTATCAAGAATTAAGGGGCACCCGCAATTCCATATGCAAGACATCTTCACTAAGCCGCATCAATTGTTTTTCTTTTTGCTCGGCTTTCTGAGTAAATTAAAAAGTAAATTTCTGCGCAGAGGACGCATCTTCTGGCCCAGCCAATAATTCAATCAATTTATTTGCACTTTAATGCAGCAATTGGTGGCAGGATGGTGTTACTCGGGGGCGAAGGTACTGCACACGCCATGACCGTAAAGCGTTCGCCGGCCGGCGGAGAAAGCGAGAATAAAAATGAAATCAATTATGTTGAAACTTTTTTGAGCGCCAATACCGCTGGCTATGTTGTAATTAATACAAAATGCTCTGGCCTGAGACCGGCAAGGGGAAAGTGGGGAAAAGTGGCAGGGGGAAAGTGGAGGGAGAAGGGCGGGGGAGGGAGAAAGAAATGGGGGATCGTTATAGCCGGGGGCATGCCAAAAGTTGAGTCTTTGCCGCAGTGCCGTTGCCCGAAACTCAATTTGATAAAAATTTCATTTACAATTGCCGACGCCATCGTGGCATCCCCCTCATCCCCTTCCCGTTTTCTCGGATGTGGGAGTGGACAGTTGGCCAGGACTCGCACGATTCGCAGGACTCCGGCTCGCCTCTGCCAATTGTTGTGTTTATTAATTTAATTTGACAGTCGCGAGTCCCTCGCACGTTGCCACTTCGCCTTGGGCCATTTGCAGCCATACAGCAGCTGTGGACGCTTGTGGTTTTCCAAAAGGTTTTAAAGGGGGACTTTTAGATGGTTTTTCACAAAGGTTTGGAAAGGGAACTGTTCAACGAAGGGGTGCGAAATCGGTGGGGGAAATGGCAACCATTTTCGGTGCCTGCTGCGGTTAGTTTTTGTATTTGTAAGGGATACAGAGGGATTCAGTTAAAGGCATGAGTCGTTTATTCAATATCCGTTAACCATTCAATCCATCGATTTGCTAATCAGCCGCTAACTTCCAATTTACAAACGCAGGGATATTCAATGAAGTCTTTTGCATTTATCAAAACCTTTTCAATAAATTAGTTGTATCGAACACGTGGGGGAATCAATGGAAAAAACGAACTTTAACGATGACTGCTTACTACTCTCTAAAAATAGTTACCAAATTATTTATTTTTTACCATTCAGGAGTTTCAATTATGTTGTCATCTAAAAGTGGAACTCCAAAATATACTATTAAATTTTGATCTTATGTTTTAGTGCCACTTTAATTTGTATACCATCAGTGCTCCTTTAGATTTGCGGCTGGCTTTAACTCCGCAATTTGTTGTGAGTTTACTTCTCACGTATTCTTCATTGATTGTCCAGCTTCGAGGTAGGTAGAAACTTGATAGTTAAGACCCCATTCCTATGGCACCCCGACTATTATCCAGAGTTAAGCCCAGCCAACACTTTTAGTTAAGCGGCGCATGTGGCTGGCACATTTGTCAACCGGCAGCGAAGTCGGCAAAACATCAACGCCAACGCAACAAAACTGAGCAAAAACTTCAGCTGAGCTGCCTGAGGAAAAGCGAGTGTTAAGTGGCAGATATACTGGTATATATACGACCGATCCCCGCGGCCCACCTTCTTTGGGCAATAAACAATTTATGGGTTTGGGAAGTCTCGCGCCGGCGACATGCGATGCATGCCAAGCGCCTTTGCAATTGCTGTCAATTGCGATGGCAACATGTTGGCCGGGTCAGAACGACTGTTGGCCAAGATGCGAC